TTGTTTTGGGCCCTCTGGAGATCTCCTATGGCCCACTTGTGTCCCTTCCAAGAGGGTTTCCACCAGAGGATTGCTCCATAGAGCATGAGAGGCATCACATGCGCTATGTATAGCCTCCTCTTGTTGACAGGGGTGAAGCCCCTGACCGAATTGCCCAGCATCCGCAGTGTGTTGACTGTGGACTCCGCCTTGTTGGCATAGAACTTAATATGCCCATGGAAGGATAGTTTGGGATCCAAGAAGAATCCCAAGTATCTCATTTCTATCTTGGGTTGGATCCTATGGATCACCCCATCATCCCGAACTGCAATCGCCGGTCCCAGGGGGTGGCTGTCGCTGTAGGGTGTCTTGTTGCGCCTAAAGTGCATTAATTCAAGTTTGCTGGATTCCACAGACAGGCCGAGCCTGCCTAGGTCCCCCATGAGGTTGTGGTACATATCGGTCAGGACTTCCACATTTGAATCCAGCTGTGATCCTAGAGTAGATCCACCTGGTTCAGGAGATGCGGCAAACAAAAGGCCGTCATCAACGAAGAATTGTGCCACAACATTGGCAAATCTTCTTTCCTGTCCTGGTGCCCACTTGTGGAGCACTGGGGCAATATAAAGTCCGGATAGGATGGGGGATAGAGAGGATCCTTGTCCCAACCCAACGGAGAAGTCCAGGGGGTCAGTAGTAGCCCCATTGAATAAGAATTTGGTCTCTCTACCAACAAGGTAATCGGCCATGAATTTGCAGAGCTTAGAGCTAAACCCTTGCTTAGTCAACATGCGCAATAACACCGCCTGTTGTACAGATGGGTAAAATTGAGAGATATCCATGAGGAGCACTGAGGGGGTAAGCCCCGCCTCCCATGCCTTCTGGATGTTGTGGACCAGTTGCATCCCAGCGTCCGTAGTGCTATGTCCGATGGTGCCCCCGAATTGTGCAGGGTGCATGATGCCGAACTTTTGCCCATCGAATTGCATTCGATGGGCAATAAGTTTTTCTAACCATTTGCCAGAGCAATTGAGCAGGCAAATGGGGCGATATGATGTCGCCGATGTGTAGTCCTCCTTTTTTGGTTTGGGAAGGACCACTGTGACTGATTCCTTAAATGCCTCTGGGCAGACCCCAAAGGCAATACAGGCATTGAAAAGTGTGTGGAAGAACCTCCTGATACCAGGCCCACATTCAATTATATTTCCATCACCTAAGTCGACAGTCCGCTCAGTTAGCCATTTGATCCACAGCCAATTGAGATGATCCGGTCCAGGAACAGACGTATTACTAGTCTTCCCAAGTACCTCCATCATTTCCCACTCGCTGAAGGGAAGAAATTCCCTTTCAGGCAATTGGGGGATTGCCTCAATCATCTCCCAATCAACTGGTTTAGGGTTGGTTGGAGTGAATTGGGTTTGGAAAGCCTCTGCCATCAAGGCAGTGGTGTTGGCCGGTCTGCCATTGCGCATTTTAAGCTGCACATTGGCTGACTGCTTGCGTGGTTTGGTCCATTGGACAAAATCCAATATGAGTTTGGGGTTAGATCTCTTGATGCAAGCATCAAAGAATCCCCTCTTGGCTGCTCTGGTGGCTTTCCTCAAGTCACCCCGCCGGTTGTGTAGGTCTGACACTGCTGCCCTAACGACTACCCCCTGGGTCGCAGTGCGAGCATCAAAGGAACCATGCGATGACCTCAGCGCCCTGTAATGGACCCTGGCTTCATCCACATTTCTCGTCGCATCCCTTACTCTCTGGGCTGCTCTCTGACATCTCCCATTCCACCAGGTGCGAGACCTGGCAGATACTTTAGGAGTTGTTGCATGATTCTCCCAATGTGTGGATAGAATATTCTGGAGGTACGCAGCCGCTTCGGCAACGTCCTCCTTGGATTGAAATATGGGCTGGTAGGCATGTAATTCAAGAGCAACGGTGTTCAGGTATTCCTGGGCCACTGTTCCTGTTCTAGGGATGCGAGGATCCCTGGTTGGATTGGCGTCAATTGCCAAGGTCCACTTGAGGACTGCATGGTCAGAGCGGTGTCTGCCATTCTGATCCACCTCAAGAATTGACTCCCCTTCCCTATAGTCATGATCGATCCATACAAGATCAATGGTGCCTGGGGAAGCAGCGGTACTGTTGGGAATCCACGTTGGGATCCCCTCGTCGTCATTTAATAGATCAAGACCTATGTCCTGTTGTGCAAGGGTGATCAATGCTAGTGCCTTGTCACCATGCCTGTTGCGCATTCCAGTCCTTCGAGACCCTTTATCCCACAGGACATGCCGCAGATTGAAGTCCCCTGCCATAACCGCTATAGGTGGTAAGGACATGACATGGTCGCCGAGGTATTCCACCGCGGCGAATGTTTTGCTGTCATTGTATACACACAGGACATGTAATGGTCCCCCCCTCATGCTCAGTTTAACTAACAGAGCGTCAGGATGGTCAACGATGTTGGTCAGGACAACAGGGCTATATTGTCCCCATCGTCAATTGACATATACAGCCACCCTTGAGCGCGATGACGTACCCAGGCACACAAAGTTACAGTGCTGGACTGTATCAACAAGCCAATCTCCATCTCGATTACGCGAAGATGCGATCTGTTTGATCTGGCCCCAGAAGATCTCTTGGACCATGACGACATCGGCATCTCTGTTGTCTTCCAACAGAAGTGCCGTGTTTTCCCTCGACTTTTGCACATTCTGACTGATACAGCGGAATGATGGGGCCGCGGCTATCTCTTGGTGGTCATTGTTATCACCATTGGAGACAGGTCGTACACTATTTACATCGCTAATTGTACACATATAGACAACGCAGTAAATGATATCAGGAAATGAAATTACTGAGCCACTACCCCCAAGGGGCCGGCCTCAGCATTCCCATCCGTCCCTTCATCGGCATACATCTCCTCAATGGAGTGTTCCGGTGCATCTGGGGGAAGCATCTCTATGCCGCTTGCCTCGCCCTCAATCTCCAAGCCCTCAAAGCGGGAGCCCTTCGCCAGCTCTGCTCTGCCCTTGGCCCTCGCACGCTTGGTGACCGTCGCGGCCACCGCTGCTGCCTTCGCTGCAGGCACTTTCAGAGGGTTTTCTGAGTGCCATTTCTTGTTCCTCGCGTGCTTCGCCCAAGAGCACTTGGGGTAACTCGCACGATGTCCTTGGGTGCCGCAGTTAGGGCAGCGGTCGTGGGACTCGGGGCAGGGGAGTTCCTCAGCCTTGAGGACGACCCGGCGCTGGGCACAGCACAAGGCCAGCCTGTTGTGTAGCTCTGCGATGTGGGGCTCGCCACACCTCTCGCAGTGTTTGTGGGTTGCCTTGCAGATTGGCGCAGGGTGGCCCCACCTCCAGCATCAAGGGCAGAGAGGGACGCGGTCGGCTTCGTAC